TCATGTGTAAAAAGGTACATTTGGAAACGTACCTTTGGAAAAAGGTACGTTTGAATAGATCCCTCTCAGCATCCCGTGCTAACGTGCATTTATCACTTTTTCGCAACCACTTAATATCTAAATTTCTTTTTCTGTATATGAATCCCATTATGTCATTATAAGCTAGGTATGTTGATGATGTTTTGGCCCTTTGAAGGCAAAAATGCTCGAGACGTCCTTTCAGTCATGGGACCACAACCGCCCAAAAAGATCGAGATTGCGAATTTGTTTTCTTCACTCACCCTGAAGTATGCATTAGCAGGTGAAGTTTCCCCAAATACATGGTATCAGATTATTGTAGACAGCTTGTCCTAAAAGGCTAATGGAAACTTCTTTGTTAGAAAGCAGAAAGGATGTCATTTGAAATCTTCACACCTCTTTGTGCGTGAATGGACGGGAAGGAGAGTAAATGGACGGGACGGGTAATTGACGGGATGGGCGTTTCTGTATTTAAGCATACTGGTTAACGAAGGCTTCGGTTTTCTAAGTATTAAACCCCATATTTCCTCTTTTACGAGCATAGAAAACTGAAGTTTCTCTGCGTAAAATATTTGTAATACCTTGTAGAGACATTAGGTTATTTTGGAGCAGGAAAGATGAAAATGAGCAACGCCTTCGCTGAGAATTGAACCACGGACTTCTTGACGCGCGCAGCGTGCTGATCACTACACTACAAAGCAATAATAAAAAGCCGGGAGAAATACCTTATAACCTCATTCATCAATTCGTAAAATCTAAAGAGTGCCTTTCTTCTAGCCAACTATTGAATATGAATGTGAAAAAGGATAATTTCACGAACTTCCCCTTACTGGCACATGATATTGAGAAGACTACATTTTACTGATTTTTTAACGCAGTTAGCCATTTCATCAACAGAGACCATTGCGTTCCTTCAGGCTGAAAAAAACTGTGTGTTCAATGATTCCCGATGTAAAACATTATGGGGGGGAAAAACCAATATTGAGATAATCTAGCTTTAAATGAAGTTTATAATTCGAACACTGATTTACGATGCGTTATCAGTTTACAATGAAATGCATTTTGATCCAGTGACCATTAGATTAGTATATACACTGTCTATTGACGTCATAGGCGATGTTTTAACCGATAGAATCTGTTCATATATGGAATGCCGGCTTTTAATTGAATAATTGGTCTTGTTAACTTAAATATGTAGACTCATCAAGCTGAAGCGAAAGTTTTCTACCCTCATGCAATTTTTTTCCTGTTACATTTTTCTGAATTCCACTTGATTTTTACGTAGCAAGAAATATCATCCTTTGAAAAAAGGTACGTTTGGATAGATCCCTCTCAGCATCCCGTGCTAACGTGCATTTAACACGTTTTCGCAACCACGTAACATCCAAATTTCTTTTGCTGTTTATGACTCCCATTATGTCAATTATTTCTGCTACTTTATAAGTTTGCAGTTATTATTTTATTATTATCTTGGCTTGTCTTACTTAAGAAGTCAAATGACTGAAATATAGTTTATATTTGTTTACTAAATTACTATGTTTTGTTTTAAAATAAATATTTAATTTACTTTGAACCATATATTAATTGGTTAAGTTTTCCTTACATACGATACATTCAGGATGTTCAAGATTTCCACATTATGAGTACGTAATTATAGAACTTCAAAAATAATTTTGATACCTGCTTATGATATCGGAAATGATCTACTCTGAGAAATGTTAATGATATTGACACGTGATTCCGGAGAATTACCTGTTTTATTTTCACAGTGATGTATTTCACTCTTGTGCAGTTTTTGCCGTTGAAGTGAAAACTTCCCAAATTCTCCAAAACGTTTATAAGCAATAAGTATTTCAATTTGTTTAGTAGTCAAATGCGAGGTATTGTAAGAAGCTTTGTTAGCAAGTTAGCATTAATATATTGTATACTGTGTCTAATGTACTGGTGAGTGTTGATTGATTCGTAAATGGTACGCTAGAGTTCGGGTATAATCAAAATCTTTCCAGTGGTCAAAAAGTCTTCCCAGGGTTCAGCACAGTCTCCCCAGATCCAGTGGTTTGAATGTTCTTCGCTGAGTTTCCTGATCTATAACCAGAGCTAGTTTCGGAACGTTCGAAGTCCTAATGCATGCAGGGCTGTGTATATTCGGCAATGTGCTCCGTGATGTAGGGATTGCCATGAAAAATAAACATATGAAATAACCCGCTGCAACGCAATTATCCGGGTGTTTTATTTAAAGACATGAGTGAAATGCTTTCTCTCTCCTAATAAGAAATCAGTTTGGGGTTTGAATGTAAAGCTGGGTAGTTTACATCCATCTTCTAAACTATGTACAATACAGAAAAATAACAATGTATGGGAAAATAGTTTGATACTGTTTAGTTTTTAGTGAATTAAATTTATGCGAGATACATTGTAATAGTGTGAGAAAAATGTAATTTAAATTTTGATTTTTCTGTACGAAGGAAGAAGCATCTTTTTGTAAATGCTTATCTAACAATGTTTTCCCTACCCTACTTCGCATTATACAATCCAAATTTGTGCATTTTAAACATCACTATGCAAGGATTTTCCTTCAGTCACGTAAACTTGATTTCTCTAATAATCTATCCATGCACTGTTGAGATATTTGTAATCGCATTCTTACTGGTTAAAAGGAAGTATAGCTTTCTGTCACGTCCGAAACATTCATTAGCTTACAGCCAGGTCCGAGTTATTCTGAAACTAAATCCCATTCTGCATGTTTCTTTTGATTGGTTATTTATTGTGTCTTGTTTATGATTTGTTAAACCATGATCTGTTATAAAGTTATATATATGACCTCTGTAACCGCTTATGGCTGCTAGTGCTTGTACTTACTTATTTCTGCTTGTATGTAACTCTGCGTGTATCTCTGCATATCTCGGTAATAAATATTTGCTTTGCGAACCACGGCATTTTCTATGTTTAACATGCACAAAACAGATCCTGAAATTTTCCTGAAATCAATTGAAGCATTCAATTTCTCATTCAACTCTCAACGTTTTGGAATTTTACGGGCATTTCATTTTATTGAGAAAATAATACATGCGCGACATGCATTTAAACCTACATTACCAAACCACAGCCGTAATTGCTAAGGTCTGCAATATGTTATTCTAAGGATCAAGTACAGATATATCAACTTATTGGAAACTTCTAGAGCTCCTTTATTTGAAATCGAAATTCCTCTCTTAGTATTCGTATTCAGACATCCATTGGGAAATGTTTTATCCTTCATTCTTATATTTTCAGGCTTGGTAACCCAGGAAAGGAAGACATTCGTGGAAGCCTTCCTGCATATAAGCCTTTCTTTTGCATATTTATTGATTACACAAAAATATTAAAGGAAGCACTATAAAAATAAACTGAAACTTCAAGTCCATTAGGATTGTGTGTATAAAGAGACTTAATGCAGGTCTATGTCAAAGCTTTTGAGGAAAAGCTCTTCTAAATATCGCTTGCTCAAGAATTCTACTGGTTTCATGTCTTTAAAGATTTACATAAACAATAGTTACTTCAGTAGAATCGCAATTCAATTTAAGTAGAGAAAATATAGTACTTCTGTTACCTTAATACAGCATCCACGTTTAGTACATTCTATTAATGTTAAATTTTACCTGGGACGAATTTCCAAAATTTTATAGAACAGGGAAAATTCAGTTTTCATCCAAACATTACTTAAAATTAGATCCTGTTTCAAGTTCACAGTTATAAGTTTCATTCATAAAACTAGAATTTTTTTAATATTTATTATGCTGTACCATTTTAAAACTTTGAGTTTGCACCTTAGGTACACAAAGAGGATTCATGATTGAACTGCATAGTGAATCACTGGCTACCATTCACTACACTTGCTTAATTTCTCTAATGATCTGTTTTGTACATAGACAGATCGTTAGAGAAACCAAGCTTAGGTAGCTGAAAGGAAATTCTTGCAGAGAGATTGCTAATGATCGAGCTTTTATGTATTTAGGTTATCTGTATTTAGATTTTATCAACAAAAATTGATGAGAATTAAAGCATTTCAAGCCCGTGAGAAAACATTGAGTTATTAACACCTCCTACAAATTTACATTTTTGTTGCGTGACGACAATAGCTGAAAACAAAAAAAGAAAGCATTTTCTACTAGTAATTTAGCAACAAATTAGTATTTACACACTACAGAAATTTCTGCTGCAGCGGTTATTAGAATTCTAATATTATTAACATTACATACATTACATTAAGCCCTTCCAAATTAGGTTTCTAATTTCTGTTTTGTAAGTTTATGCTAATGTAACATATGCCAATAAATGTATTTCATGTGTCATCATAAACTCTAGGCCTATTTATGCCTCTAGGCCTTTAAGCCTATTTATGTTTATAACGTTTACGCAGTGCGGGTCGAACTACTGTTTACTAGTAATATGAGAGAAAACTACGCAGTTCTTCGTATCAGAATTCTTTGCTCTACTTTCCATAACTTATTTAAAATTTTCAAATTACTGAGAATTCATAGTTCGTCATTTCTAATCTTAAATGAAATAATGGGCCTTGCATGTGTACATATCTATGTGTTGTTTTTAAACTTAATTTTACTTTTCATTAACCACAGTCTTATTACTTCCAAGCACTACCTCTACATTTAAAAAAAATATATTTTAAAACGTGCTTGTACCGAACGATTTGTGAATTAACTTCATGCTGTAAACAAATAGCAAGATGCAAGACTACTTGATTCATGTTGTATATTACGCAAGCTTTAACATTTAATTTATTGACATATAAGAATTAAGTGTTTTCAAAATTAATTTTTGCCTAGCAATGAATTTCTGTTCTTGATTTTATCCTTTTTCTGTCTTGATTCGTTATTTAAGTGTTATTACATATTTCACGTTCACCATTATAGTAATAAACACTTATATACTTTTTTCCGTTTTCATTTTCAGCTCCATATAAAGCAACCCTTCTGAAGTGAAATATGTCGTTCAAGACGGCATTATTAATATTCCTGCTGGTGCCGAGGGTTGTAGTAACAGTAAACCTTACTTCAAATGACACCAATACGACAAATACTTCTTTCAGATCGCCATATGAGTGGAGTGGCGCAGTAATACAACAAGTGATAACTTTATCAGTCATCATTTTCTTAACCCTGGTAGGAAATACACTTATCGTCCTGGTCTTGTCTTTTTCAAGATACAGAAACCGTTCCTCCAGAGTCAATATCTTCATTCTAAACTTAGCTATTGGAGACCTTGCTGTCTGTTTCATCACAATGACATCAGAGCTTCTCTTCGAAGTAAGTTTATTTATTTTGCATTTGTTTAAATTCAATACTAATTTGTTGTTTAATACTCAACTTACAATATAAGACTTATTTTGACGCATAAGGCAAGCACTTGTATTGGAATGCCCTCACAGGGTAAATCAGAATGCCACTCTTTATTTTATCACACAAGGAGGATGTACTGGTAAGTAAAAAATAAGCAGTTTCACTAAAGTGACTAAACTTGAATTCATTTGACGTTTTTTCAAAGTCTGAGAATTTCCCCTTTGAAATAAATGCAGAAAACATTCCTAAAAGTATGAAACATAAAGGTAATTAGAAACCTTTTTCCAGGGAAAGAGCATCGTTTTACATGTAATAAACATGGTTTTGGTTTTCTCTCTTCATTTCTTGTTTAAATAAAAATTAATGGCAGGCTTAAGTAACTATTTTAAGCATTATGAAAAACAGCTTTCTAGCACAAACTGTAATACGATAAGAATTTCAATAAGGATGATAGAACACATCTTTCTTAAATCCATATTGCCCACCAGCGGCCGAGCGGTAAAATCGCTGAACACTGGTAGTTCGGTCCGAGGTTCGAATCCCGCGAACGGGCTGGCTGCATGGGCGTTTTCGTGGTTTTCCCCATGTGTAACGTGCATACGAGCCAGTTTCCCTTAGAAAATCCTCCACGAAGGCATCCCTCCCTCTTAGGCAGATAGCCCTCGAGGCTTTGCCATAATCTCACACACACACACTTAAATCCATATTTACGCCAAATACTTTCCCATACAAATATCATATGTCCAAGGAATATCTAAATATCGTCTCAAATTCTCACATTTTTCTGCGTAGAAGAATTACGTTACTCATATATTTAACATGAAATTCAAAATTAAAAAACAGAGCAGTTGTCCACTTATATTCCTTATGATAAATTTTAGGAGCTATCGTAATGCAGTAAGCTGATTATCTTCTGAAGAGTATATGCAGAACGATTTCTATTCGTTCTGTCTACTTTAAGTAGTGCAAATATTTTAAATGGTAGGTAATAAAAATTTAATTTTGAGGCACGATTTTCGCTTTTAATACTTTTAAAACATATGAACATGAGGTATTACCAAGTTTTTTAAGTAAGCTAATTTATAAATGTTTTCTATGGCTTTTAAAAAGAGTTCAAAACCTGATAATACTTACATCTTGGTATTATTGCTTGACACTAAATTTTCTCTGACGACTTTATCATTTTTTTATTTCGTAATTGTTAAGAAATACTCAAAAGTGCAAATCTAAGTATAAAGCATTATCTTCACATCTAAATTGCATATACGTTATACTTAAATGTATTTATATTTAATACTTAAGAATCTTCCTTGCGTTAAGTATTTAAAAATTATGCTTACTTTCTTTTGTTTATAAATTTCAGATTTCCTTATATTAAAAAATTGTTTTTTAATAAAAACTGCCTGTTGAAAGACACTTAGATGTGAACCCTTGCACTATCAGAAGTAAAAGAAAAATATAGTTTTTATTTTATATTTGAATTAAGAGATTTCATTTGCGCAGGCTCAGATAACAAACATAATGGGAATTCAATATGTGAATTTTAAACAACATGCCACCCTGAAAGTGATCAGCAGAAACTGACTACTAGCCCGAAACTAAGTGCATGGTTTCAGATCCCGCGCAAGGCCTGGCTGTTATGCCTATCTCTTTTCCCTTCGCATGAGTATTCAATTACCCCTCTGCGATGCACTTCGAACAATGTTCTCAGGAATGTGTGTATGTGTGTGTGTATTTAATTATGGCAAAGCACACTAGGGCTATCTGCCTAAGGGTAGGGATGCCTTCGTGGTGGACTTTCTAAGCAAAACTGGCTCGTAAACACGTTACACATAGGGAAAACCACGAAAACACCCATGCAGCCAGCCAGTTCGCGGGATTCGAACCTCGGACTGAACTACCAGTGTTCAGAGACCGCTCGGTCGCTGGTGGGCCTTGTTCTCAGGAATGAGACGGCTAAATGATGAGTTCAATCATTCCCGACAAGTGTTTTTAAAGCAAGCGTCCGTTGATTGCCAGAGGGGAAGGGTAACAACATGTTAGATGCGCTGAGAAAATTATTTTTCAAATGCTAATATTATACGTGTAATATAATTTTGCAAAAGTTCGTGGTATTCTTCTATGAGTAAAATTTCCATTTTTTCTTTTTTCTTTGATGTGATCCTGTAAAATTAGTTGTTGATTTCATTAGCGATGGCGTCAAGTGCTTTATTTATTTTTACCATTATACGACCTCGACTCATATGCTAGCGAGTCTCAAAGATCGTTCTCTCTTTGAAATTTTGTTTTCTCTCATTGTCTGAATCTACTTCATTCGGTTATCGTAGTAGCTGGAAACAAAATTATAGTCGTTAAGCTTTAAAAATGTAACTGCTTATTTTACGTAGATTACGCCAACTCTAATGGCTGAGTTTTACCCTTTTTATATTTAAGTATGGAACGTCAAACTGACCTGATAACCAAATTGGAATAAATGTTAATTTATGCTCTAGTTCAATTAAAATAAATTTTATAGGGAGGATACTTAAATAAATTGTGCCAAAATTCGCAAAATCAATTGATATGACCGAAGTAATAAATTTTCAAGCCAAGAATGTAAATAATATACATTTAAAGGATGAAACAACTCACTCTGTGTGTGTGATTAGAAGATTAAAAAAGCAAAATTTATTTTTTTTTTACTTTTATGTCAGAAAAATTACATAAAAATTAAAAATATTTGCTCAATAGATAAATATTGTTGCCCGCGTAGGAGTTTGTAATGCATTGAATGCACACAGAATTCATGATAGATTGATAAAATTTATGTAATTCAAAGAAACACTTCACAGTTCTAGAAATTTTTATAAAAATATTAGTGCAGCTCTTCACGGTATCATAGATCACAATCAATAATTACATTTCAAACTACTAATAATCTTAAACACAATGCAAAATGGAAAGCGCATCTAAAAGGCGAAGCTAACACGGAAGTATCTCAACACTTCTTAGTCGACTCTTAACTAACAACTGAGAACAAATGCTCTCTTAGGTTTATCTAATTTTCGCCAGACCGCTGAGAAATCTCTAGTACTTCTCTGAATTTCTGGAAGGAATTTTAGGGCCCAGTACAGTTACAGCTACATATCGTAACTATTACACTTATTCAATTACAATATTCATTAGGGTGATACACGGTCGCAGGATTTGGTCACTTTTAGCGATTTCTCGCGAAATTTTAGCGAACGAAAACCATCACCAGCTTGGCGATATTTCACCAAATTAAATAAAAATATCTCACAAATCATTTCAAAAACATGTCCTGCCGATGAGAAACATTTTAGTTTTACTTCAGTCGATGGGAATTGCTTTATTAATATTATTCTCAATTTCCTTCGCAACTCGTTTCATAAATTTGTTCCTTACGCACTTTCGTTTACAAACACTGCTTCCATTTTTTATCACCCTTTATTATACTTTTAACTCGAATGTTATTAAAAATAATGAAAGACTAAGATAAATATAATTGCAGTATACAATGTTTCGAATGAAATCAAACTCATATGCTAGCGAGGACATAACGCTTACAACAATAATTAATAAAAATATTGCATTTTATTGGAAATAATTTCATGTTACTGCACAGATTACACATAAGATTCTATAAATTCTCTCTCTTTAAAAGGCTTTACATTACATTTCAAAGTTAAAAATTATTTATGACCATTTCTAGCTCTTTTCAACCCTTTGAATACGCACTTTCGGTGATTTAAATGCTCATTTCCGGTTTTTGTGTCTTTATGATATCCTTAATATCTCGGTTTCTAATTAACGTAGAAACAAAGCAGACAAGTTTTGGAAAGCTAAAATAAACAATCTATCCAATGAACGAATAAATGAAAATTCTATTTTTTTTGCCAAAATTGGCCTTTTCAATGTGTTCGGATACCTTAAGCAGATAGCTCTCGAATTCTTTCCCATAATTAAATAAACCGAAAATGGTTATCTTTTTCTATGAAGAATATGTTATTTTCTTTGCATATGCTACTAACAAAGAATCTGCAGTTCTAAAGGATATCAAGTTAATCGAGGAAACGGTATTTCTAATTTTAAAATACAAAATATTTCTGACATAAACGTTACATCAAATACACCTCTTTTATTTTGTGAATCTGAAGAAATGAGGCAATTATTTTCAAACGTATTGTGTAGCAGTTTCATGATCGTTCCTAAATTCTGTAAATAAATTTAAATAGAATTTAATTACTTCTAAAGTATGCTTAGTCTAACAGCTTTGTTATTAAATGAATTTTGATTAAAATATCATTTCTTTTCGTAGTGAACAAAGGCAAATGATCCAAAATACTCGTGCTTTTATTGATGAAATTTAAATTAATGTAATTCAATAGTTGCATTTCTTTATGATATCAAAGCTATTATATTAATGAAAATATAAAGCATAATGCAATTTTTCTCTTTGAAACGGGAAAAGTGTAAATTCTAAGAATTAAAGAAAATATATCAATTTTCCTGAAAGGTAAAAATATAATCTTGCTCGAAATTAAAGCTACTTTTAAATAATTAATTTTCCTTTACGAAGTAAAAATACAATTTGAATGAGTTTGTTTCATCAAAAGGAATATGGTATTAACTTTGATGTTACAAGCTTCTTGAAAACAGAGAAAAAGGATCAGTATTTCCAAATCACTAACACTAAAGTAACGAAAATTGTATTGTTTGTGTACCATAAAAGTATAGAATTACTGAGGGTTAGATTTCGTTTATTACCTCGAAATTTTAAGCAGAGGCTCTTAATGTTTCCGTTTAACGAAACTCTTACCACCTTTTGTACCAACACCTATTCTGAATTTATTTGAAGCCGTTTTGGAATTCATGAATACATTTTGAATTTATCATAAGTAAAAGAGCATTCGTAAAGGGGAGAATTCAATGGAAATGCAGTCGAATTCAAATTAATAAAATTTCCA